CGATGCAGCTGTCGGCTATTGTTTCCGGGGCGCCTGCACCAGTCGGAAGCCGCACCTTGGTTTTCAAACATTTCAGAAGTCAAATGGACTTCCGGAACGGATTAAGTTTGGCGCTTTTGTTTTTGCTATTTATTTTGCATTTTTGCTTTTGAGGCTTTTTTGGTTAATTTGTTGTTCTGACTGTGTGGAACCCAGTTCAGCTACCGACTGATTGATTGTGTGACTATGGAAATGGATAAAAGCCCCCCATCCAAACAATGACTATTCATCAGGGCAGGTAAGAAAAAAAGTTAATTTTAATTTTTATCATCTATAATACTCTTATTTATTTTATAGTACAGTACATTGTTTATTGCTTTCATTTTATGGATCAGTGGTCTCGCTAGATAGTAAAATTCATGTTAAATTGCTGTTTTAGGGGTTGCTTTTAAAACTCTGGAATGGATTAATCCGTTTTGCATTACTGTCTATGGGAAAGCGCGCCTTGGTTTTGGAACGCTTTGGTTTTGCAACGGACTTCCGGAACCAATTAAGTTTGAGAACCAAGGCGCCACTGTAGAGCATTCCTCCAATTTTGAAGATTAATTATTTCTCACTGCTCTTTGCATGTGCTCAGAGGCTCCTTCTACATTCTTCCCACCAATGACCCTAACCCACCTGTGGTCTGTTGTGTGGAAGCCTGACAGCTGGAAGAGACGGACGGCTGTCACTCTTCAGACCAACTTTCTAAAGAGCCACTAAGTCACCAGAGGTGAGCGGAAACTGCCTCTAGGCGACCACGCAGAGGAAGTTTTATCGAAGGTTGTTCCTGTTATTCCTCAGAGGCCTCCATCAGTCTATATGTTAGCAGGCAGACCGACACATTTTTGTCATGTTCACGAGCTGAGCATGTCCACAGTGTGATGCAGCAGCAAAAGAAAGCTAATGCCATTCTAGGCTGCATGAACAGTAGTATGGTGTCCTGGTCAAGGGAAGTCATGTTGTTGTTGTTTAGTCGTTTAGTCGTGTCCGACTCTTCGTGACCCCCTGGACCAGAGCACGCCAGGCACCTCTGTCCTCCACTACCTCCCGCAGTTTGGTCAAACTCATGCTGGTAACCTCGAAAACACTATCCAACCATCTCGTCCTCTGCCGTCCCCTTCTCCTTGTGCCTCCATCTTTCCCAGCATCAGTGTCTTCTCCAGGGAGTCTTCTCTTCTCATGAGGTGGCCAAAGTACTGGAGCCTCAGCTTCAGGATCTGTCCATCCAGTGAGCACTCAGGGCTGATTTCCTTAAGAATGGATAGGTTTGATCTTCTTGCAGTCCATGGGACTCTCAAGAGTCTCCTCCAGCACCAGAATTCAAAAGCATCCATTCTTCGGCGATCAGCCTTCTTTATGGTCCAGCTCTCACTTCCATGCATCACTACTGGGAAAACCATGGCTTTAACTCTACGGACCTTTGTTGGCAAGGTGATGTCTCTACTTCTCAAGATGCTGTCTAGGCCTGTCATTGCCCTTCTCCCAAGAAGCAGGCATCTTTTAATTTCGTGGCTGCTGTCACCATCTGCAGTGATCATGGAGCCCAATAAAGTAAAATCTCTCACTGCCTCCATTTCTTCCCCTTCTATTTGCCAGGAGGTGATGGGACCAGTGGCCATGATCTTCGTTTTTTTGATGTTGAGCTTCAGACCATATTTTGCGCTCTCCTCTTTCACCCTCATTAAAAGGTTCTTTAATTCCTCCTCACTTTCTGCCATCAAGGTTGTGTCATCTGCATATCTGAGGTTGTTGATATTTCTTCCGGCAATCTTAATTCCAGTTTGGGATTCATCCAGCCCAGCCTTTCGCATGATGAATTCTGCATATAAATTAAATAAGCAGGGAGACAAAATACAGCCTTGTCGTACTCCTTTCCCAATTTTGAACCAATCAGTTGTTCCATATCCAGTTCTAACTGTAGCTTCTTGTCCCACATAGAGATGTCTCAGGAGACAGATGAGGTGATCAGGCACTCCTATTTCTTTAAGAACTTGCCATAGTCTCACTCTATTCTGTCTTGGTCAGGCCACACCCGGAATACTGTGTCTAGTTCTGGGCACCACAATTTAAGAAGGATATTGACAAGCTCCAGAGGAGGGCGACCAAGATGATCAATGGCCTGGAAACCAAGCCTGATGAGGAATGGTTGAAGGAGCTGGGTATGTTCAGCCTGGAAAAGAGGAGACTGAGAGGAGAGATGATAGCCATCTTCAAATATCTCAGGGGCTGTTTTCTCCTGCTCTGGAGGGTAGGACAAGCAGAGGTTGGAGGGCCAACTGTCATGGATGCTTTAGTTGAGATTCCTGCATTGCAGTGGGGTCAGACTAGAGCACCCGTGGGGCCCCTTCCATCTCTGCCATTCTATGAGATAAAAATAAATAAAAATTATCTGCACGCAGAAAACAAGTACAGTCATGCCTCCGGTTACAGACGCTTCAGGTTGCGTTTTTTCGGGTAACGGACCCGCCGAAACCCGGATGTACCGGAAGGGGAACGGATAACTTCTGGGTTTCAGCGGTCGCACATGCGCAGAAGCGCTAAATCGTGCTTTGCGCATAAGTGCTGAATCGCAACCCGCGCAGGCGCACCACTGCGGGTTGTGAACGTGCATCCCGCATGGATCACATTCGCAACCTGAGCATCCACTGCACCTATAACATGACCCCAGCTCAGGCTCCGTAAAAGTGGGAGCATGGAAGGTGGTATTGCCTAGTGGGCATGGTTCAAAAAGGGGCAGGGCCACAAGATCAAGAGTCAGGGCCTGACCCTGCACAGAACACTCACGCCTACTGTGGAGAAAGTATACAACACAGTACCTTGAGAAATCGCCCCGGAAAATGAGTATGTACTTCTTTTTCCCTAGAGAGGGAACTTCAAGTGGGCCACATACATAGTACATAGATTAAATCTATCCTCCTGGTGCTTCTCTCGGTGGTGCAACTAACACACTGGTGCATTTGGGTTTACCTTCATCCCGCAAACCTTTATGGGTTTGCAATTTAAAGACTGCTGTCCACTGATGGATTAATATTCTCAGTGCCTCCCTGGTGGAGATCTAGATCTAGGGGCGAGTACTCTTTGGTGCAATAGCCGCAGCAGGGATTTAAAATCACAAAACCCGCAGCAAAGTGCGGGAACATGGGCTGCTAGACCTTTAAAACAGCCCCTTCCAAGCTTTTCCAAAGTTCCTCTGTTCTTCTGTACAAAAAGATACCACACCTGTGGTGTGGTGAAGATGGTTTTACTTACAAACTTCTCAAAGGTCAGATTCCTGTGTTGCTCTATACAGCAGCAAGAAAACCGAGGCAGAAAACTTAGCAGCATAGAATTGTAGAGTTGGGAGGGTCATCTAGTTCAACCCATTGCGGTTACAGAAATGAGTTTAAATGTACCTAAGTGGAACAACTGGTTCAAAATTGGGAAAGGAGTACGACAAGGCTGTATATTGTCTCCCTGCTTATTTAACTTACATGCAGAATTCATCATGCAAAAGGCTGGGCTGGGTGAATCCCAAGCCGGAATTAAGATTGCCGGAAGAAATATCAACAACCTCAGATATGCAGATGACACAACCTTGATGGCAGAAAGTGAGGAGGAATTAAAGAATTAAAGAGGGTGAAAGAGGAGAGCGCAATATATGGTTTGAAGCTTAACATCAAAAAAACGAAGATCATGGCCACTGGGCCTATCATCTCCTGGCAAATAGAAGGGGAAGGAATGGAGACAGTGAGAGATTTTACTTTCTTGGGCTCCCTGATCACTGCAGATGGTGACAGCAGTCACAAAATTAAAAGACGCCTGCTTCTTGGGAGAAAAGCAATGACAAACCTAGACAGCATCTTAAAAAGCAGAGACATCACCTTGCGGACAAAGGTCCGTATAGTTAAAGCTATGGTTTTCCCAGTAGTTATGTATGGAAGTGAGAGCTGGACCATAAAGAAGGCTGATCGCCGAAGAATTGATGCTTTTGAATTCTGGTGCTGGAGGAGACTCTTGAGAGTCCCATGGACTGCGAGAAGATCAAACCTCTCCATTCTGAAGGAAATCAGCCCTGAGTGCTCAGTGGAAGGACAGATCCTGAAGCTGAGGCTCCAATACTTTGGCCACCTCATGAGAAGAGAAGACTCCCTGGAAAAGACCCTGATGTTGGGAAAGATGGAGGGCACAAGGAGAAGGGGATGACAGAGGACGAGATGGTGGGACAGTGTTCTCGAAGCTACAAACATGCGTTTGACCAAACTGCGGGAGGCAGTGGAAGACAGGAGTGCCTGGCGTGCTCTGGTCCAGGGGGTCACGAAGAGTCGGACACGACTAAACAACTAAACAACAACAAAGTTATTAGTCCAGAGCAGGTTTCCCCAACTTTGGGTCTCCTGCTGTTTTCGGACTACAACTCCCATCATCCCCAACTAGCAAGACCAGTGGTCAGGGTGATGGGAATTGCAGTCCACAAACAGCCAGAGACCCGAATTCCGGAAACCCAGGTCTAGAAACACAAAAACGTCTTGTGAGCCACTTTCATGGTCTGACCCGGAGCAAAGTTCAGACCTCTGAGGCCCATTGGGTCAGTGTGCCTGGCTGTCAACAAAAAGGCTGGCGGTTCGAGCCCAGGCAGGGACAGCTGTTGGGAAGAATTCTTGCATTGCACGGGGTTGGACTAGATGACCCTCGGCTCCCTTCCAAGTCGATGATGATCTCAGAGGGCAGACTGCAAAAATAAAACAGAAAGCCCTGATTTTCCTTTTTTTGGGGGGAGGGGGCGTGACCTAGTCGCGCCTGGCCTGGCAGCTTCCTCTGCGCTCTTAACCCCTTCGTGCCCTGACTCCCCGTTGCAGGGCTTGGAGTCAAGCGCTGTCTCTCCCTCCGCGGCCCTTCCTGGCAATTGCGGGCGGCTCTTACATCATGCCCGTTTGCAGGCGGCGGCAACGTGGAGAGGAGGACGGAGGAGGAGGAGGAGCGGGGCGGGCGGGGGGCCCGTCCCCCGGCAGCCTATGGGGCGGGCCAGGACGTGGGTCTCCTCCCCCTTCCTCTTTAAATCGGGCGCCCGGACGCCTGGGTCCACCCTGCGCTGCGAGGGGGCTGCGGGAAGGGGGGACGCGATGCCGGCGCCTTACACGCGGATCCTGGGGTGAGCAGACGCCCGCCGTGGCCCCCTCGACTCCCTCTGTCTGCACCCCACTTCTGACTCTCCCTGACCCCCCACCCCCGTTTCAATGCAACGCTGAACCCCCTTCCCCTTTCTTCCCCAGTCTCCAGCCTCCGCGATCTCGCCTCTCCAAGCCTCTCTCTCTTTCCACCCCCCATCCTATCCTTGGCCCCCCAACTCTTGCTTCAATCTTTTCGGCAGATCTCATGGAGCTCAAGGGAATGACCTTCGCTTCGAAGGGTGCTGGAGGTCTCAGCCTTCCGCCCACCCCATAGCGATTGCTTTGCACCCCACTCTTCTTTGGGGTGGTCCTGGAGGAGAGGGGTTCGCTTAAGTGGGGGGCAGGCGGGCGGGCAGAATATGGGGAGACAAATACCCTTGCAAAAAGCAAACAAACGTGCCCCTCCTCCCTGGTGTGTTTATATTCCATAATAATCTGCATGTGATTTTTAGAATAACGTGATGCCATTCAGAAAAAAAAGCTCCTCTTACTTCATGTGACTGGAGTAACAACGGGACTGTCTCCCTGGGGGTGAAGAGAAGTCCAGCCTCAGTTTGCACGTTCTGTGAAATGGGTCTTAGACGTTGGGAGCCGTTTGCTTCTGCCAAGCGAGGCCTCCTGTCCCTTCCCAACTGTGTATCCCTTCCTGACACATAGCTGAATATTGCAAAGGGGTTTGGACAAGATCACACTGCCCCCCCCCCGTCCCTTCCAACACTTGAGATTTGATGACCCTGCCTGTATCTCCTTTAGAGATGCCCCCCCTCCCTTTATTCTGTCTGTCTCCCTTCCTTGTCTGTGCCCCTGTCTAAGATGCAAATGTGGACCCCCTTCTGAGGTTAGAACTCTAAAACTGTACCCACCCCAATTGTGCGAAGGAGCTTCTAAATTTTGGGTGCCCTGCTTCCCTTGCAGGCAGAGTGTTTGCACCCAGGGGACACAGATGGGTCCTTGTGCTCTGGCAACGCCACCCTTGTTTGTTAGGCTCTCCTCCGCCTCGGCCTCCTGCTTCTCGCTCTCCACGTCACCCACAAACACCCTCCCCCCCCTTCCACTACAACCTTTTACCCATAAGAGGAAACAGCAAACCTCCGGAGCCCAATCACCTCCGCTTTGTTTTAACAGCTCTTAATATTTCCTCTTCGATTGCCCTCCTCCAGATAAACCAAGGCTGGGACACTAATCCGGGTACTAAAGAGTTGCAGGAAGATCTCTCTCCCTGCAAACAAACACACACACACACGCACGCACGCTGCAATCTCCAGTTGCAGCACTGGGTCTCATCCTCTCCGTGCAAGCCACCAGCTTGAACTCATCCCGTTTTATGGCTGTCAATCTCCTGGCTCCAGATTACCTCACCTTGGCTACCTTCTTTAGCCTTTGGACACACAAACAAAACACACACAGGGCCGCTCTGTAAAAGGGGAGCAGCGGCGACAGCTAGGGGGTGGCCGTAAAGCGAATACGCACATTTTAAAACGGGGGGATGTCGCACGCACGGCTTCCAGCCCCATCTCTGCCACAGGGTCATTTTGTGGCCTTGGGTCAGTCGCATTCTCTCTCTCTCTCTTGCTCCGTGCCTCAGTTCCTTTACCTGTAAAATGGGAGCAATATTCAGTCATGGTTGGTTTATTTAGAGCGTTTGTACCCCGCTCTTCAGGGTGGCTTACATACAATCAAAACAAGACAGTCGCTACCCACAGGCTTATAATTTAACCCCCTCCCCAAAGGGGGAAAAAACATGACACACAAGGGAAAAGGTATAGGAGGGAAGAGGAAACCGACACCACAGGATTCTTGTGGTGTGTGTCCACTTTTTAAACAAAACAAAACAAGACAATGAATGTTCTGCAAGAACAATCCATTGTGACGTCTTGTAGCCTGTCTGCAAGACAGCCCTTCTTCCCCACCACACACATCAAGCGTTCCCATTTTACAGATGGAAAACTGAGGCCGGTGGGTTGGTTTTTTTTTTTTAAGTGTACTGTCAGAGGCCGAGCAGTTAGGTAGGTGGAAAGGTGCAAAAGCTGAACCCTCTCCGATTGAATCAGAACGACTCTGTTGGTCCCCGCAGCGTCGGAGTCAAAGCGGCTGGGGAGGAAATCAGTGGGGGAGAGGAATTGCTGTAGCTCACAGGTAGGGCATGCACAAGGTCCCGGGTTCAAACCCCTGGTAGGGGCCGGAGTTCTCCTCTGAGGTTGTTGGTTGATCGAAGCAGGATCCAGTCTCCTTAATTCTCCCCCCCCCCCCCGCCCGCCCCATGCAAAGTTGCACACAAAGAGGCACACTTTTTGTGATCTGATCTAGGCTTGCCTCCCCCCCCCTTTCTTTTTTAATTAAGACAACTCCCCGTGGCAGTGGGGAGATGCCACATAGGAGCTGTGGGGCAAGGCGGGGAGGGCCTGCGCCTCTATCTGGGAACAACATGTTCCCGCACGCAGGCAGGCCTCCGACCTGGGGGCATGGCCGGGACCTCCCCCCCCCCCCCCGCTCCGCCGGGAGCCTTGGCTCGGGTGAAAGTCCACGCCACCGTGTGGCCTGGCCCTTTGCCCTTTGCCCTGCCGCCTGGAGCCCAGCCAAGGCTCCTGTGCTCCTGCCGTGGGTCCTCTGCCAATCCCAGGGGTGGGAGAAGCAAACCCTTTCCCCAGATCTCCCGTGCAAGGGTCAGCGAGGTGCGTACATGCTCACAAACAGTCTAGGGTCCACAGATCCACACCTGTCAATATTGTCCTAGGACAGGCGTCCTCAACATCAGCCCTTCAGATGTTTTTTTTTTTGGACTACAACTCCCATGATCCCTAGCTAGCAGGACCAGTGGTCAGGGATGATGGGAATTGTAGTCTCCAAACACCTGGAGGGCCGAAGGTTGAGGAAGCCTGTCCTAGAATCTGAGAGGTGGAAGCATAGCTGTCAATGTTTCCCCTTTTTTTAAAAGGGAAATTCCCTTATTCCGAATAGGATTCCTTGCAAGAAAAGGGAAAAGTGGACAGCTATGGGTGGAAGGGACCCAGGGGTCATCTAGTCCAACCCGCTGCGATGCAGGAATCTCGACAAAAGCAGCCGTGACAAATGGCCGCCCAACCTCTGCTTAAAAATCGCCGAGGAAAGGAGAGTCACCCTGGTCGCACGCATGCAAGCTCACGAGCGTGCACACGGAGTTTTGTGGTGCATGGTGCATTCGTGTTAGGCACGGAGCTGTGCTTTGCTGGTGGGATTTGCCTGCTTGCCTTGGCGACAAAGGCGTTAGGGCAGCTGCTTGTTATTTCACCCTTGAGCAAACCTCCTGATAACTTGCAAACACCATATTTTACTTTTAAAAAGAAAATACGCCTTGAGAGGGGAGCTTGCCAGCAAGACGACATGCGTGCCACCCTCTCCCGTCCGCAACCTGCTGCTTTGCACATAGGGGACAGGCCGTAGCTCATTGGTAGAGCGTCCAGAAAACCCCAGGTTCTATCCTTCCAGGTAAGACTCCCTGCCCAAAACCAGCGTTCAAAATTCGCCAGCCGCATTTTGCACCCGGCTACTGGCCACTTCTGGCCGAGTGAATATGCCCAGGTGCCAGGATGCTGCCTGACTTCTCCCCCAGTGCCTGGGGACCCATGGATATGCCTTGTTTTCTCGCACCAGCAACACATCCTGTCGAATTATAGCCGTGATGTTTTATCTGCACAATCAGAATGAATTTCGGGAACCAAAAAGCCATGCTGGGAAATACGACTTCAGAGCCGTCCAGCCCCAAAATGGCAAATGGATCTTCGGTTTTGGCGACTGTAATCCTGATTCAAGGATCCATTCACTGCCTAGTTTATGTATCTGAGTTTCTAGCCCTGCCTGGAATTCTGGAAAGCCACTTTTGTCCGGTGTAAGCGATAAGGAGCAAGGTGGCTCGATGGTCTGACTCAGGGAAAGGAACCGTATTTTTCGCTCTAGAAGACGCCCCAGATCACAAGACGCACCTGGTTTTTGGAGGGGGAAAACAAGAAAAAAAATATTCTGAATCTCAGAAGCCAGAACAGCAAGAGGGATCGCTGCGCAGTGAAAGCAGCAATCCCTCTTGCTGTTCTGGCTTCTGGGATAGCTGCGCAGCCTGCATTCGCTCCATAAGACGCACACACATCTCCCCTTACTTTTTAGGAGGGGAAAAGTGAGTCTTACAGAGCAAAAAATACGGTACCTTCAGATTTTCACCCATCACAAGTATTCATCTCAGTGTTCCTCACCTGCCCCAGGTGCTGTTGTGCATTGTGGGGAAATCTGCCAGCGTTTATGCTATACCTTTTCTCCATTCTCAAAAGGCAATTTAAGTTAGACTCCCATTATCGCTCATTTTGGTGATGGAGCTGTTTCGTTCCACGTCCTCATTTTTCTCGTGTGGTTCCAGCCTGTCTAACACGTTTGGTTTCAACCTTGAGGCGGAGGTAGCTTTTTAGGGGGGGACGCTGACTTTTGGGGGGACTTTGCATATAAACGTGGGCCGCGTAGAGATAAGCGCACCCCAATCTTGCATTCCCAATGTGTTGTTTATTGCACAGATTTGAAAACAACGAAGAAGGCGCCGGGGCCTCTTGTGCGGAAATGCGCCCGCGCTGTTGTGCAGCGGCATCTAAAGTTTCTGGGGAACGCAGGTGTCTGGCTTTGCGCATAAACTCCGGCACACATGTTCACGGGTCGCGCACGCACCGGTTTTTGCCTGCCCAAGCTTGCGTACAATTTGCACATTTTGGAAGGCTGTGGGTGCCCCCGGGGGAATCTCTCTACCTATTTCTGCACGATTTAAACGCTCTGATAAGGACTCGGGAGAGGCCTGGGCAAAACAAGAGTCCTGGGAAAATTGAGATGCCCATCTATGTTTCCTCCATCTCCACTCCTTTTTATTTTCTTCTGGTCATGTGGCTCCATGCTTGATCTCTCTCTCTCTGTTTGTGTGCGTGTGCTTCTTGCAGCCTTGGAGCCTCCTCTCTCAGATGTTGGTCTGTAGCCCCAGTGCGCTGGGCGCATGCCCCACGGGTGCTCCACGGGGACCTGGGCAAACTTTCGAGCCAGGTGAAGGAGTTTGTGGACCACGGGGTGCGACTCTGCCAGCCGGACAGCGTCCACATCTGCGACGGCACTGAGAAGGAGAACGTCAAAATCTTGAACTACCTGGAGTCCGAAGGCGTCATCAAGCCATTGGGGAAATACGAGAACTGGTGAGCGCATTGGAGGGCGGGAGGTGGCTGCCCCCGGAAGCGCATGGCCAGCGCATGTCCTGCAGAGCATCCTGGGAGGTGGCTCTGCGGGGCCACTGGCCGGGGGATGTGGGCACTGCAGCCACAATCCTGCCATTGGTCGGCTACGCCACACACAGGTTTTGGGGGGACAGAACGAACCTCGCTTTCCCCCTCTGTCTTCTCACGTAGCTGGCTAGCCAAGACCGACCCCAAGGATGTGGCACGAGTGGAGAGCCGTACGGTCATTGTGACGGAAAACCAGAGGGACACAGTGCCCATTCCTGCGCCGGGGGTCAAAGGGCAGCTGGGCAACTGGATGAACCCCCAAACATTCAAGGGAGCAGTGGACGAGCGTTTTCCTGGCTGCATGAAAGGTAAAGAGAGAATAGACAGTGGATAGGACAGGGAGGCTTTCTGAGAAGAGTTGGGCTAAATTATTATTATTATTATTCCCGTCTGTCAGGATTGCCCCAGCCACTCTGGGAGGCTCCCAACAGATATAAAAACACAATAAAACATCAAACATTAAAAACTGCCTTCAGGTGTCTTCTAAAAGTTGTGTCATTCTTTATCTCCTTGACATCTGCTGGGAGGGCGGGCGCCACCACCGAGAAGGCCCTGTGCCTGGTTCCCTGTAACCTCACTTCTCGCAATGAGGGAACCGCCAGAAGGACCTTGGAGCTGGACCTCAGTGTCTGGGCGGAGCAATGGGGCTAAATTCCTCCTGGACCTAGTTTATTTTTTCTCTAGCCGTCCATAGGCCTGTCCTTTTGCTCCACCCACGAAACCGTCCTTCAGCGACTCAATGGCTCTTCCTTGAGCCATGCCCCCGCCTCTGTTTGAGCCCCTGCCTGCGCCTTCCCCTCCTATGACTCCTTTGGGTTTTTTTGTTTTTATATTTTATTTTATTAACATATAAAACACATGCATATACATTTACACAATACACGTACGCAACACACTACCTAATTTTCATAACCCAAAACATACCTACACTACTCTATGTAATGCCTACCTATACTATACATATCAACATACCTGCACACCTGCCCCATACGGACACCCACCAAGTGACTTGACTTCCAGCCGTTCTTGTTCCGCTACTTTATTTTTCCAACTAGCTTAAACGCATTTCATTATTTCTTTAATCTCTTATCTTAACTTTACTCTCCTTTCACTCTAATCATTTTCTGGGTCAACTCCGTATCTGTCAGAAATTCTACTTTTTCCACATAAATTTTGATGTATTCCTTAAAGATAAAAAGGTAAAGGGACCCCTGACCATTAGGTCCAGTCGTGGCCAACTCTGGGATTGCAGCACTCATCTCGCTTTATTGGCCGAGGGAGCTGGCGTACAGCTTCCGGGTCACGTGGCCAGCATGACTAAGCCACTTCTGGCAAACTAGAGCAGTGCATGGAAGCGCAGTTTACCTTCCCGCCAGAGCGGTACCTATTTATCTACTTGCACTTTGACCTGCTTTCGAACTGCTAGGTTGGCAGGAGCAGGGACCGAGCAACGGGAGCTCACCCCATCGCGGGGATTCGAACCGCCGACCTTCTGATTGGGAAGTCTTAGGCTCTGTGGTTTAACCCACAGCATAGTCCACTCCTTATTCACTTTTTGTACCATGTCTCCTCTTATCCTCCCTGTCAGCTCGGCAATATGGAAGTATTCCATCATTTTGGAAAACCAGTCTGTTTCAGTTGGGACGCTGTTGCTTTCCCAATTTTCGGCAATCGATAACCTTGCCGCCTGTGACTCCTTTGTGACTCCTCTCCCGCAGGCCGCACCATGTACGTCATCCCCTACAGCATGGGGCCCATCGGCTCGCCCCTCTCCAAGATCGGCATCCAGCTCACGGACTCGGCCTACGTGGTCGCCAGCATGCGGATCATGACCCGGATGGGCACAGCCGCTCTCCGCACACTCGGCGACGGGGAGTTCGTCAAGTGCTTACATTCGGTGGGGCGACCTTTACCCCTGGAAGGTGAGAGGGTCCTCTTTGGGGTTTCGGAAGTGGGGGGGCACCCCTCTCAGGACCCCCCGATGGTTAGGGACGAGGCTCGGGTTTCGAAGCAGCCGCTTGCTTCCCCCCACTGAGCCTTGGTCAGTTTTGCAATGGCTGCTAGCGGAATGAAAATCATGGGATTGTAGAGTTGGGAGGGACCAGTTCATGTGGTCTAACCCCCTGCCATGCGGGAATTAGGGGCAGGGTCCTTAGGCTGACAGCCCTGCAGAATACCGTATTTTTTGCTCTGTAAGACTCACTTTTCCCCTCCTAAAAAGTAAGGGGAAATGTGTGTGCGTCTTATGGAGCGAATGCAGGCTGCGCAGCTATCCCAGAAGCCAGAACAGCAAGGGGGATTGCTGCTTTCACTGCGCAGCGATCCCTCTTGCTGTTCTGGCTTCTGAGATTCAGAATATTTTTTTTCTTGTTTTCCTCCTCCAAAAACTAGGTGCGTCTTATGGTCTGGTGCGTCTTATAGAGCGAAAAATACGGTAGATCCTCTGGAAGTGCAAAAACTCTGCCAAAGACTTCCTTCTGCTTAAATTATTAGTAGCAGAGAGAGATAGTGTGGGGAAAGGCCAGTTTGGATACACATTTTCTTTTTAATTTAAATATTTTCATTATTATTAAAATAATTCAACATTAATACATACATGTTACAAATATACAAGCATACATGTCATACAATCCTTAAAAATATTCATACATATCCACACTCAATCCCACAGATACTTCCTTATCCCACCACCATCCCTCACCCCACCCTTGTGTTAGACTTCCAATCTACTCAATTGCAATTTCTTTCCACTTCTATTACTTTCTTTCACACACTTTTAAACCAATTTTCTACTTCTTTTTCTGTTACACATTGTTATCCATCTTATTTAGTATTTCAGTATTTATAACAGAACTTGTTTATTCTAATAGGAGTTCTGATTTTTCAATATGGTTATGCAAGTATCCTTTAAACACCTCCCAGTCCTTGTCTATCTTCTCTTTTGAGATCCTTGTTTAGCTCTAACAAAGATCCTTGAAGAGTCAGAGCTTTAGTGTGGTCACATTGGCACCAGACATTTTAAAGCTCTGTGATAGCTCTTTGAACTGTCATGGCTCCCCCCAAGGAATTCTGGGAGATGTTGTTTGTTAAGAGTCTTTCGGAGACACACATTCCCCTCTCATGGCTACGGTTCCCAGAGTGGTTTAACAATCAAACCCCCTTGACAGGGAGCTCTGGGAATTGTAGCTCTGTGAAGGGGTCTCCCAAGACAGCGCACTTCAAACCTTGCGTCCCCAGGCCTTGTCAGACTACAATTCCCACCGTGGGATGATGGGAGTTGTGATCCAGAACTATTTGAAGAAGGCTGATCTGAGAGCACCATGACAAACTACAGCTCCCAGGATTCTCCGGGCGAAGCCATGGCTGTTTAAAGGGATATGTTGTTGAGTCGTTTAGTTGTGTCCGACTCTTCGTGACCCCCTGGACTAGAGCATGCCAGGCACTCCTGTCTTCCACTGCCTCCCGCAGTTGGGTCAAACTCATGCTGGTAGCTTTGAGAACACTGTCCCACCATCTCGTCCTCTGTCGTCCCCTTCTCCTTGTGCCCTCCATCTTTCCCAACATCAGGGTCTTTTCCGGGGAGTCTTCTCTTCTCATGAGGTGGCCAAAGTCTTGGAGCCTCAGCTTCAGGACCTGTCCTTCCAGTGAGCACTCAGGGCTCATTTCCTTCAGAATGGAGAGGTTTGATCTTCTTGCAGTCCATGGGACTCTCAAGAGTCTCCTCCAGCACCATCATTCAAAAGCATCCATTCAAAATCAGCACTCAGGGCTGATTTCTTTAAGAATTAAAGGGATGTAGTAATGCTTTAAATGTAGAGTGTGGATGCGGCCTTAGTTTCCTACAGTATTATTATTAGTATTAAATTTGTATAGCGTCCTTTATCCATAGATTTCAGGGCGGTTCACAGCGTAAAACCGCAAGATAAAACCACAAAACGCAGAATAAAAACCGGAACAAAACAAACCAGTAACTCCCCTCCCCAGTACAGCTGCTGGGATACCCTCCAAGTCCTGTTGTTCAGAGGCAGGTGCGGAATTCTTCCATAAGATTGCCAACGTCGGTTTTTCTCCTCCAAATGCAGATGAATTGGTGAACAACTGGCCTTGCAACCCCGAGAAGACCCTCATAGCGCATGTCCCAGAACGCCGAGAAATCGTCTCCTTCGGCAGCGGCTACGGGGGCAACTCCCTCCTGGGCAAGAAATGTTTCGCCTTGCGCATCGCCTCTTGCATTGCCAAAGATGAGGGCTGGCTGGCAGAACATATGCTGGTGAGAGGGATGGTTTGTGAATATAGTTTGTGAAGAGGCAGGCCCGGCGGGGAAGGATGAGGGGAACCGGGAGTCAGTGGCTAAATTCCCTCCACAGTTTCATAGTCTGTACATGCTCAGAGGCACTCTTGGTTCCTCTTTATGGAGCCCCGGGGCCGGTCCTGACTTTGCGGGTTCAGTCTCGCATGCCGGGTGGCGACGGCGCGATGGATTTCCTGCAAAGGGTTCTGGGAGCCTGGGATATTATTCAGTCTGGGTTTGGCTGGGGCTTGATAGCCCGGACTGGGGAAGGGACGTGGGGCTTGGGAGCAAGGCCAAAGGACAACGGGGTGTTTACATTGCCTCAGGGGGATATTTAACGAGCAAATATTAATTGGTTAATGAGTGGCAGAGGACTGCTGAAATCCCAAATGTGCGAGGATGGGTCTGACGCATGGAAGGGAAGGGGGGGGGCGGAGGTGAATTTTTTAGGTCTTTCGTCAGGACCCAGAGGGCATTGGCCCAGGTGGAAGGGTAGTCGAGGGGACCCACGGCGGCGGGTGTGTAAGTGCAAAGCCTTGTGGGAAAACTTGTGAGGATTTTCGCTGCAAAATAAGTGTTCATGGCTGAAACAGCCTCCAAAGCATCGTGGGTAATTTGGGGAACGCCATTAACTCTCCAGAAGAGCAGTTTACCTTTGTGCGTTGAGTGAAGCTTTCATTATTTAAAAAATGGCCCTAACAATCCATTGCTTCTGGTTGAGCCATTTTAAAGAGTTGCTTCGGATAACCCTCTGATCCAAGACTCGGCAGGTGTTTAGACAAACAGCTTCCCCCGACCTGGGGCTCTCCAGATCCTTTGGACTACAAAAGCCTCAACCAGGATGGGGGAAGGCTAGTCTAAAATAATGGCTTTGGGTTGGCATTTATTACAATACATTCTGGTGCTTTTATGTTTCATTGCGAAACCAAAGTTCCTTCCTTAAAAAAAGGGGGGGGGAGGAAGGCTTCTCTGTGTTTAGACATTGTGTGACAGGCAGAAATTCAACAGATCACAATCTACCCCCTGCTGTGCTATAAAAGCATCATCTGTTGAATTTCCTGACCTGCTGCGCCAGAAAATTAGGAAAGAGCACATGGAAATGTCTCATTAAAGTTTAAACCACACTAGGCTTTATGACGCAAACAGCCTTCACTGCAAATATCTGATTGCATGTATCCTAAAGTTGGCTTAGATTTCTTAAAACAAGAAACTCGTCTAAAATTTGGGTGCCGTTGCCAGTGCGTGGGTCTCTGGTGTTTGGGCGTCTGCGCATCACCTTCCTCTCCCTGTGCGTCTCCTGAGACATTTACATGTTGCTGATTTCCCCCTTCCAGATCCTGGGACTCACAAACCCAGAGGGGAAGAAGAAGTATGTGGCCGCAGCCTTTCCCAGCGCCTGCGGAAAGACCAACTTGGCCATGATGAACCCCACACTTCCCGGCTGGAGGGTGGAGTGCGTGGGGGACGACATTGCGTGGATGAAGTTCGACAGTGACGGTGAGTTTGGATCCAAATGAGAGGAGCAGGGCTCAGCATGCTTGCTGTGTCATGAGAGGCAGTACGGTGCAGTGGTTAGCGTGCCGGAATGAGAGGACTTGCGTTCGAATCTCTGCTCGCCTGCAAAGATCACTGAATGACCTTTGTCCAGTTTCACTCTCTCTCCCTCTCTCTGTGACTAACCCTACCACACAGGGCTGTTGTATGGATAAAAGTTAGGGGACTGGGAGCTGGTATACCCTCTCCTGAGCTCCTTGAAGAGCGGGATAAAAATGGAAAAAAATAAAGGGTGAGAATGTGGCCCTTCAGGCATCACTATGTGGCCCTTGGAACTATCCCCAGGGCATACACACATCTCCTCAGGCCGACTGATAACACCTCTGGCTTCCAAGGTGATATTTACACCTGGTGCTCCGCCTACTTTTGCCCCTGGCCCCGCCCACCACGGGCAGGTGGCCCTTGTGCTGTTGCTCAGAGGAGAATGTGGCCCCTCAGGTTGGAAAAGTACACAGAAAAGGTACTAACTCCAGGTTGTGGGCCTTGGCCACCTTCACACCCGACATTTAAAGTAGTTCAAACCATCATGGCTTCTCCCCAAAGAATTATGGGAACTGTCGTTTTGCTAAGGGTGCTGAGAGGCAGTAGGAGGTCAATGTCACAAAGCTACAATGCCTAGAGTTCCCTGTCAGGACAGTTAAACCACTCTGAGGGCATAGCAAGCTGGTAAGAGGTGTGGCCAGCTGAGAGAGGGTGTGGCCTAAAGAGGGCCAGGCAGAAAGCCTATTTGGCCCCCAGGATTAAGATACTGCCACCCCTAATTTCCCAGGTAGTCTGTCACTCATCCTGTCTGCAGATGGGGAGGTCAGATCACCCAACCTCCCCAGTCTTAAGATGGCTCAAAGGGGAATAATAATAATAATAATAATAATAATAATAATAATAATAATAATATATTTATTATTTATACCCCACCCATCTGGCTGGGTTTCCCCAGCCTCTCTAGGCGGCTTCCAACAGAATATTAAAATACAATAGTCTATTAAACATGAAAAGCTTCCCTAAACAGGGCTGCCTTCAGATGTCTTCTAAAAGTCAGATAGTTGTTTATTTCCTTGACATCTGCTGGGAGGGCGTTCCACAGGGCGGGCGCCACCACTGAGAAGGCCCTCTGCCTGGTTCCCTGCAACTTGGCTTCTCGCAGTGAGGGAACCGCCAGAAGGCCCTCAGCACTGGACCTCAGTGTCCGGGCAGAACAATGAAGGTGGAGATGCTCCTTCAGGAATGGCGGATTTGGTGGGTGGAAAGAGAGAAGCTTGTGCAGAGACAGCGGCTTCTCGTGTGAAGGAGAGAAGGAAGCCTGGGGAAATAGAGGCTCAAGAAGAGGCCCTGGGATCCGGAGCAGGATTTTCTGCGGCTCTTTATCTTCTCCCCTCTCACGCGTAGGCCGTTTGCGGGCCATCAACCCCGAGAACGGCTTTTTTGGGGTGGCGCCCGGCACGTCCACCAGAACCAACCCCAACGCCATGCACACCATCCAGCGGAACACCATTTTCACCAACGTGGCCGAGACCAGCGAAGGGGGAGTCTACTGGGAGGGCATCGATCAGATGATCCCCGCGGGAGTGACCATCAGCACCTGGCAGGGCAAGCCGTGGAAACCAGGCAAGGATGGGCGGCTTGTTTGCAAAGGATTCTGGGTAGCCGCACAGAACGGAGTGGGGAATGGGGAGCGCATAGAGCCCGGTAACCTGAACTTTCCACTTCTCTTCCTGCCAAGGTGACGCGGGGCCGGCTGCCCACCCTAACTCACGCTTCTGCGCGCCAGCGCGCCAGTGCCCTATCATGGACCCGGACTGGGAGTCCCCCAAGGGGGTCCCTATCGATGCCATCATCTTGGGGGGCAGGAGACCTGCAGGTAAGCTCCCTGGCCTCCCGCTCCTCCTCCCAGACTCTGTGGGCACCCACTGAGCGACCCCACCTCTCTGAGGGACCCCACCCACTAAACTGATTTCCCCCCTACAGGTGTGCCCCTGGTGTACGAAGCCTTCAACTGGCGCCACGGCGTCTTCGTGGGCAGCGCAATGAGATCGGAATCCACCGCAGCCGCTGAACACAAAGGTGAGGGCTCTCTGGGGCTTGGTGGATCTGTTCTCTATTTAGATCTGGTTTCATCTCAAGGGCTAAAGTCCAGGGAAGACCTGCCTGCCCACCTTGGGTAATGGAACCAAGGCCATGGTATAGTGCAGGGGTCTGCAACCTTTAAGACAAAAAGAGCCACTTGGACCCGTTTCCAAAGAAAAAAAACCTGGGAGCCGCAAAACCATTGCGACATTTAAAACAAATATAACACTGCGTATATTGTTTCTTACCTTAATCTGACAGTGGGTGGGAAGGTGACGTCGGGACGGTGCGTGACTAACGCACGCACCGCCCCCATGCGACGTCACAGCCAGTACAGCGCCCGCCACAGTGGGGAGTGTCCGGGTGCATAATGCGCCTCCTCCCCTCGCTAGTATCCGCCCCGGAGCCGCGGCAAAGGTGTAAAAGAGCCACATGCGGCTCCGGAGCCGCGGGTTGCAGACCCAGGGTATAGTGGTACCTCGGGTTACATACGCTTCAGGTTACAGACTCCGCTAACCCAGAAATAGTACCTCGGGTTAAGAACTTTGCTTCAGGATGAGAACAGAAACCGTGCTCCGGCAGTGCAGCAGCAGCAGGAGGCCCCATTAGCTAAAGTGGTCCTTCAGATTAAGAACAGTTTCAGGTTAAGAACAGACCTCCGGAACGAATTAAGTACTTAAACCAAGGTACCACTGTACGTTTAAATGAAGGGTGGGGAGAATTTTTCAGCAAAAGGGAGACATTCTCACCCAGGCAGGATTCTGGGGCCTTCGCACCAGTAGTTGGCAAGGCCAGAGGAGCAACAACTGAGAAACGTACCTTTGTAGTGGCACCCTCCCTGTGGAACTGCCCTCCCGTCAGATGTCAATGTAATTTTCGGCAGGCATCTGAAGGCAGCCCTGTTTCCAGAAGATTTTAATGTGTGACTTTTTCTGCATTTTGGCTGGAAGCCGCTCATAGTAGCTGGGGTAACCCATTCCAGACGGGCAGGGTATAAGAAAGAAATTATTAGGATTATTATAGGGAGAGTCTGAGGGCCAGATAGAGAGGCCTGAATATTCTCAACTCCGGCTTTAAACCTTTGTAATTGGTGGAGCCAGAGACTGGCAGACTGGCAGTAGTGGGCCTATGATAGGTGCACGGTCCAAGTCTAAACCGAAAGGCGAGGTGTCAGAGCATAGGCTGAGCTCCAGGTACAAGGCAAAGACAGCAAGCAGGTAGCCTAAAACAGGTGTAGCCAATCTGCCAGATGTCCCTGCATCACAATTCCCATCACCCTGACCATTGGCCATGCAGATGGGAGTTGTAGTTCACAACATCAGCAGGGCACATGGATGACCCCATGCTTGAGCATTGCTCCAGAGCTGAGAGATACTTATTCTTTTTTTATTCATATATTCAACTTGTATACCGCTTTTCCGTAGAAATATGCCCTGGGGCGGTTCGCAACACAACAAAAACGTAGCGACATTCGAGCGCCAGATGGTTTCAGTATGACAATCCAAATAATTCACTGAGTTCATTTCATATCAACTATAACAAGCATTTTCAGTGCCATCAATTACAGTGGTATCTCGGTTTTCGAACGTAATCCGTTCTGGAAGACCGTTTGACTTCCGAAACATTTGAGGTGTGGCCTGCAAATTCAATGAAGAAAATTGAAAGAAAGCTCAGCAGAAGCCATTCGACTTCTGAGGCGTGTTCGAAAACGGAAGCATTTACTTCCGGATTTTCGGCGTTCGGGTTCCAAATCATTCATCAACGAAGATGTTTGAAAACTGAGGTACCACTGTATTATTAACAATAATAAAACCAGTAGCTTTTTATTATGAAGGAGCAGCGAGATAGGTACCCTGAGGAGTAAAATACCCGTATTTTTCGCTCTATAAGATGCACCAGACCAGAAGACGCACCTAGTTTTTAGAGGAGGAAAACAAGAAAAAAAATATTCTGAATCTCAGAAGCCAGAACGGCAAGAGGGATCGTTGCACAGTGAAAGCAGCAATCCCTCTTGCTGTTCTGGCTTCTGGGATAGCTGCACAGCCTGCATTCACGCCATAAGACGCACACACATTTCCCCTCACTTTTTAGGAGGGAAAAAGTGAGTCTTCTAGAGCAAAAAATACGGTATATGGAAAGAGGGAAGTTTTACTTCAGAGACAGCTTTACGAAGCTTAGTTTAACCTGAGGCGTACGCACATTTGTTTAAGCTATCCTATCCCTGCTCCCCTCCCTCCCCAAATCGTTCCAGGCAAGGTCATCATGCACGACCCCTTTGCCATGCGCCCGTTCTTCGGCTACAACTTTGGCCGCTATCTGGAGCACTGGCTGAGCATGGAGGGCCATAAGGGAGTCCGCCTTCCCAAGATCTTCCATGTCAACTGGTTCCGGAAGGATGCGGCCGGGAACTTCTTGTGGCCGGGCTTCGGGGAGAACTCCCGGGTCCTCGACTGGATCTTCCGCCGCGTCGACGGAGAGGAGAGCGCCAAGGAGACGCCCATTGGCTACATCCCCAAAGATGGCGCCTTAGACCTGACAGGCCTCAGCAAGGTGAACTACCAGGAGCTTTTCTCACTGCCCAAGGAATTCTGGGAACAAGAAGTGAGGGAAGTGAGGCAGTACCTGACGGAACAAGTGAACGAGGACCTGCCCAAGGAAGTGATGAAGGAACTGGAAGCCTTGGAAGCCCGGGTGAAGAAGATGTGAGGCACCTGGAAAGGGAACACACCTGCTCTCCGGAAAAAAAGAGACCAAAGACACACACCCTGCACCTCCTGTGGGAGATGGAGGAGATGACAGGGAGCTTGTTTACAAAATGTCCCTTCCCCACTTCTTTCCAGCTACGCCTCTCTGGCCATTCAGGAGACGGCCATCTTGTTTCCTTGGTCATGAGGCGGCCATCTTGCCCTCTAGGAAACATGAGCCGCATACTGCTTTCTTTATTTTCTTGATCTGCTTTGCTTCCCCTTTCCTTTGCCACTATCCTCCTCTGGTTGTAGGGTGGAAGTGACCCGCCATCTTGTTCCACCAGCTGCCCGTTGGTTCTCGTTTGGGCCTACGTTCCGTGTCTGTGTGCCATCTTTGTTCTCGAGTGGCTCTTGACCTTTCGTAGAATGCCTTTCCCTCCTTCTAGAGAAAGACTTTTACATTGCAAAAAAAGATGATGGAAAGCCTTTTGGGGAAAGGGACACCCCAGGCTAGCTTGCGGCACGTCCTCAAATCTTAACTTGCTGCCTCTAACGCAGCTTTGGGTTACGGATGTGGAACCAGTTGTTCGCCAGCCAGGGTGCAGCGGAAGCTGTACTGCCAATAGGTCTTCAAAGGAGAAGTCATGTCTTTAACGCCGAGAAGCTTTTGCCCCTTCAAATTTTGCTGGACTACAACTCCCATCATCCCTGGCCATTGGTCACACCGGCTGTGGCTTATGGGGGTTGGAGTCCTGCAATGTCTGAAGTGGCTCCCCTTTCGCCACCCCTGCCTTAGTAGAACCTCAGGACCAGCCTTCCTATATGGTAGCTCTAACTGAATCATAGAACTGTAGGGACCCCAAGGGTCATCTAGTCCAACCCCCCTGCAACGCAGGAGTCCCAGCTCAAAATCCCTGACAGATAGCCATCCAAGCTACTTAGAAGCCTCCAGTGAGAGACCTGAACAAGTAAGTGCTAATCCTTTGCTTCTAGGCCATTGCTAACACTTGACACCAACTGGAACACGACGGAGGCCACATCCATGAATTTGCCTAGCCTCTCCTCCTATTTCTTTCGGTTGATAAACAAACTTATGATGCTGCCTTAGTCTGACCCGTTAGCCTTATCTTATCCACCGACAGTTAGTTGTTTTTGAGAGCCCTTGGAGAGAAGCCTTTGCTGATCAGCGAGGGATGCCAGGATTCATCCCGGGGACCTCTTAGCACACACGCCACTGAGCTAACGTGGCTCCTATGAATGTACTATGCTCCCTCGGGAATCCGTTCCGCGATCTTTTTAGCTGGCGTGAGGTTTCATGCCACCGCCTGCCCTTCCTCCCAAAAAACCCTTGGCTGTTTAAACCCACATTTCCCCCTCTTTCGGACCTCCTTTACATTGGCTTACTTGAACATCACACATAAGGGACCAATCTCATGAGGCCCGTAAGATATTGTAGGGCATTTGACAACATCATACTTTAACCACCCAGTATGTGGTGCTTCCCGCTGGATTTATGGTTTGTAAATCAGGAAATGGGGAAGAAGGTTTCGACGGTTCTTCCGCGCTGGAGAGCAAATTTTTGCACTTCAAATGTGCACAAGAATGTAAGGAGAGCCTGCTGGATCACCCCAGTGGCTGATCTCCTCCAGCATCCTGTTCTCACAGCAGCCAATCAGATGGCCCTGTGGTGGGCGGGATCCCACAAACAGGAGTACCCTACCCTCCTCTGGGGTTTTTTGGGTTTTTTTTGAGCCCAAGACGCCAATTGCTGTTTCGGTTCCAAGTTTACCAGAGTTGTACTTTGTACAATCAGCCTCTGATCCCCACACTTATCTAGCTTCAAACCTGCGAATGGGGTGTGTGAGGCGGAATGCGACTAAACCATCAAGCTCATTGCCAAAACCATAATTTTGTTGCCTGCCTAAGTGAAGCGGGCAACACCCATTTGGAGCTTGAATCCTCTCTCTGTGTGTTGTGGGGGCTGCGAAGTCAGAACGTTTCACGGCATGATGGCAACTCGGCCCAGTCCGTTTTCTGAAAGCCCAACAAGCCTTATTACTCAATCTCCACCATCATCTCCAGCACAGCAACCGTTCCATACCAAAAAAAATGGTTCTACCCAACTTCAGATTTGCTCGTTCCCCAGAAAGTAGTTGTCTGCCAAGTAGGTGTGGGACAATTAAATTCCCGAGCAAACAAGTCAGCCTTCTCCGGAAGACTTATACTGTACGCCCATGTTGGCTTTTGGGTAAATTAACAACTCAGAGTCAAACTTTATAGTTCACCCACCCATCAGACACCAGCCAGAGAGAGTTCTGGTCCTGGATTGGGGAGATGCTGAATCGAATCTTTCCTCCATTACGTTGCTCATGGCAGAGCCTCTGATGAAACTACTCTCAGCCTCACCTACCCCGCAGGGTTGTTGTTAGGACATGTGAGATAAGAACAGCATCCTTTGTGGGCTAAAATATGCTACTCAAGTTAAACTTGTTGCCCGCCTTTGGTTTTATATTTGGTCAAGGTTTCGGTTCCCCGTGGCCATAACTCCACCATCGACCTTCTTCAGAATTCAGCTAGGACACTGTTTACCTAACTTGCTCTGTCTGTCTCAACATTCGATTGCTAACATTCCCCACCGGAGCATTTAGAATTACCGTGAACATTGAGTGACATCACAGCAGTGCAGCCAATAGCTAGAGGAGGTTTTTGCACGCAACAAGGCAGCTTTTCGCCTATTACACATATTGGGATGTCTGATGAGAGAAGTGAGTTACATGACGTGAGTCCTCACTCACCAAACAGCCATGTGAGTCTGTTACAGCAAATAATTCCGCCTGCTGGTTATCAGATATGGTGGGTTGTTGTTGTTCTTGTTTTAACTGGTGCTCAGTATTATAATTTTAATTTCCCCCCTCTTCTTTACATTCCTATATGTGGGTTACAGTTGGGAGAATCACCCCCTCTGTTGTTCTGAATACACTTTGCCTACATTTCAGGGAATTAACATATGCAAATGATTAATGGGGTTTTATATTTCTTCCCCTCCATCCCTGGTAGAAGTGACAGTCTTTCAGGGGGGTGTTGGGGAAAGTAAGCAAGGAGGGCAGAAAAGAAGGAAAATTGGGTATGGCTACACTTTTACTGGTGGAATTTCGACCAGAAGTGAGGCAGCAACTGGAAAGAAACTTGGAGTGTGAGCTCGCTATTTGACTGCAGCTTAATTTTTTATTTTTTAACACACACCCAATCAAATCAAATGCACATTATTCTGTTAATAACAAACATGAATGAGAATAAAAATATCAACAAATAAATGGAAGCGAGCGTTTTAAATCAATGGCTTGTGCAAGGTCCCATGCTAATGGAGAATATTCAGTAGGTTGGTGTGTATCTATGTACGATGAATTTTCAAGTGTGTTGCAGACACGTCCACAACACCAACATCAAACCAGTATGAAATGCTGAGTTAGTAGCTGCAGTGTTATTAACGTGGCGCAGAACCAGTCAGGCACACTTTTATAATTAAACAAAATTAACAACACATTATTCTAAAATATAAGGCACGACAGGGTGAACACTATACTTCAGCTTCTTAAAAGACTTATATTTTCTGCAATAAGGTTACTGTATCTTTAAATGACAATTGCAGAGGTTTACATAAGGCCGGCTGATAAAACTTGGTTCCTAGCCCTGTTTAACTTGCAAGCCAATTTCCCTTGGGCCGTGGGTGGGGTGCAAATAAATTATGATGATGATGATGTTAGCCCAATCCATATCGATCCTGCAGTATCTTGAGAAATACTTGTTTGACGCGCTGTCCCTCAAACCGGATCACATCCAATTGAGAACGAACGCTGTGTTCACTTTGCAGGTAAGCGGAGGTGTGTACATCGGAGGCAGCTGCTGAGCATGCCCAGAATGAATTTCATATCCAGTGTGCAAGGCAGTGTACAAATGAGAGTCAACCTTGCTGTGTTTTAAGCTGCTGCCATGTACACAGCCATAGTCTGAATACAGCACCATCAGTATGTGTGGTGCTTTAAGGAGCACAAGAGGGAAAGGTCCCTGCCCTGAGGAGCTTACAATTTAAAAGTTGAGATAGGGGGCCAATATATGAAGGGAACAGGGAAGGAAGTAGCCAATGGCTGGGGCACGGAGTGGTAGGGTTTTTAGCTGAAAGCGTCACTAGGCTTCTGCACACAGAGTTTGGCAGGATTCCAAAGGAGTTAGAGCATTCACACGTGCAGGAAACGCGTGAATACGTTTTGTGGGTCAAGAGATACTTAAGGCGCACAAGAGGAGCAGCACATTTTGCATGGGGGCAGGGCAACAAAAGGCTCTGATTAAAGACGGGGGTAGCCGGTCTACAAACCGAAGCTATTTGGTTTTGAAACCCCTGTGTTTACACTATAGAACTCGTAACCTGCCTTAGCAACGTCAATCATTTCACCACTGTCCAATCAGAGAGTAAGCCACTGCCCCGCCCCCCAGGAGCCCGCCTCTAACCCGAGACGTCAATCATCCTGCTCTGACGATAATGGCGGAGGTTACGCAACTAGCCCGAGCAATCGATCAAGCTACCGGGAACCAATCCGAGAGCGCCCCTTCGGCCAGCTGCCCGCCTTTCTTACGAGTCATCCGCTCGCTCTGTCCAATCGGCGGCCCATTCACCTTATTGCCTAGTTTATCGCTTAACGGTTCTTTTCCTGCCCCTCATCTTAAGCGAGGAAGGAGCTTCAGCAGCCAATCAAGGAAGAGCAAGTCTTTTTAAAGCCCCGCACTCTAACCCACGTGGGGTGGTGAACGGTGGCCAATCAATTCTCAGCCGGCGCGGCCCGCCCTATCTCACTTCTCCACTCCGGTTAGAGGCGGCTGTCGCCTTAAGATGTAAACAAGGCCTCGCGCAGCGGCCGTTAGAGGGTGAGGAGGGTCTCGCGCTCCCGGAAAAGGTGGGGGGCAGGCTTTTGATTGGACAAGGTGGGCGCGCGACGGGAGGGGGGGGAGCAGTTCGGTAAGAGCCAAGGTTAAATGCGAAAGGCGTCCTGATTGGTTGGGACGAGAGGGCAGTTGGGACAGAACGTTGCGGGGGGTGGCGGCGGCGGCGGCAACAACTGAGCAAGAGTGTCCCTGCTCTATGGCGTCTGTTGATTGGAGGAGCCGTGAGCAACGGCCGTGCCCATTGGTGGAGAGGACCCAGGTGTCTGAAAAAAGTACTTTAATGGGTTCGGCAGGTCTACGAGCCCTTTATTGGTTGCCTGGGGCTGTGGTTATAGTCACGTAGAGGACGGGGTGGGTGGGTGGCTGACGTCTAGATAAGGGCACCTCGATATGGGAGCTGAGGAGCCCTTTCAGTATTGGAGGCTGTGATTGGTGAAGATGAAAAGGGGGTGAATTTTTTTGGGGGGGGGCGTATGGCTATGGGAAGCAGTGGGCGCCCCATGGAAACAAATGAGGGGAATGTTTGGCTTCTGGATGTGGGGTTAAAGTCTGCTATAGTGAGAAGCTGTGATACAATTTTAATTTTTTAAAGAGCAATACTTTTAAAATATTTAATGCTGTACTGTTTTTAACATTTGATTGGGAGCCGCCCAGAGTGGCTGGGGAAACTCAGCCAGATGGGCGGGGTATAGATAATAAATTATTATTATTATTATTATTATTACTTCTGAGTGAGGATAGATTTGATTGGTCAGAGGCAGGGAATCCTTCATGCGAAGAAGAACGAACGCTGCTCTCTCTCCCGCTTTGCCCCCCCCCGTACTGCGTACAAAGTTCTGCAATTAGTGGCTCAGGATTTTCCTTTTCAGGAAGGACTTGCTCCCTCCGTTTGGTTCCTGAGCTCCAGGAAGTGAAGAACACACCGGACACAAACCGTGAAGAATGCCTTAAGACATGGGCTCCCGCAGTAGTAGCAACGCTGGCTCGGGGGGCCGGGATAACCAGGGGAGCTGGTCTCGAAGGGACTCGGGGATACTGCGCAGCGAGGAAGAAGACGACGAGGATGTGGATCTGGCCCAGGTATTGGCATATCTACTGCGCAGGTAACTCACACCCCCGCCCCACTTTTTAGTCAAATTAGGGATACGAGGGATGCCTCTGGCAGCGGATGCTGTTTCAGACTCGTGCAGAATCTCAAGGCAGGAAGAGGAAAGGAATTTGTTATGCCTTTTCTGTCTGGTCCATTAATCTGGACAACGATAACTCAGTCCTCTCAGTAAGTGGAATCTGCTGGCGTGGAGACTCATGAGACCCTACTGGAAAATCCAGTCTCAGCTGATTTCTCACAGAGCTAGGATTTTGAAGATATGTGTGTTGGGGAATGAATTCATGCATGGATTCAAGGAGATGGGATGATGATTAAGGATCCAGGGAGCATAACTGAGTGTACAGACTTCCTTGACGCTTTGTTAAAAAACACAGAAGCCAAATAGTTTGGAAGTGTGGAAAGAAGGGTCACAGTCCAGGTTTATGTTTTACAAATCAGCCGGGATGCAGTCTCAGTTGTAAGGGGGTCGTACCAGAATTTAACTGTGTATTGCTGGATCTCAGCATGTGCCATGCCTGCTTTTCTAAGAGTAGAGGGGTTTTTGTATTTTCTTGTGCAGAAGTTGTTCAGGGCCATACTTCTTCGTATGCTCATGACGTTAAAATTCTCAGTTGTCTACCTATTGCGCAGGATGAGATATCCAAAGTTTTGACGCATAACATCATAGTTTTAGAAATTTATTCAAGAAAAGTGAAGGTTTCCTCATCTGTGGCTTCTTTATCCCTGTTTCTGATGTCACCTTAGGTAGGCCACAAAACACTTTGGAATACTTTAAAAATATTTATAGCCAACTCTACACTAAATATTCTGGTTGGGTTTGGCCAGCTATGCATATACAAAAGAGATTCCTGATACTGTTTTGATAGCAAGTTTTTTGCGTGGTTAAGACAAAAAGAGATTGTGAAGTGCTCCAAAAGTACCCCTCTAAAATAGGTGAATGAATGGGCAGTAAAATTCACTGCACACAAGTATAAGTGATGCACGTTGGGGCAAAAAAATCACATCTTCACATATACAGTTAGGAAGTTTGAGCTTCCGGTGACTATCGAGGAGACAGTGGGTCGTAGTGGATAGTTTGGTGAAAACGCTGGCCCAGAGTGTGACTGCTGTGAAAAAGGCGATTGCATGTTAGGGATTGTTTGGAAAGGAATTGAAAATAAGGCTGCCAATATCTGTAATGACCACTCTTAGAATTCTGTGTACAGTTCGCTCACCTCAGAAAGGATACTGTAGAGCTGGAAAAGCTTCAGAAAGGGGCAAGCAAAGTGATTCTGGAGTTGGAGCAATTCACCTATGAGGAAAAGTTGCAACGCTTGGGGTTTTTTAGTTTAGAAGGAAGAAAAGCAAGTAAGCAAGCTGGGGACATGGTAGATGCGTATACAATTATGTCTGGTGTGATGAATAATACTACAATCCAGAGGCATCCAATGAACTGAATGTCAGAAGATTCAGGGCAGACAACTTCTTCACAATTATGTAATTCTGTCCCACAAGAGGCGGTGCTGGTCACCAATTTGTGTGGCTTTAAATGAATTTGAGGCTGTTAATGGCTCCTAGCCTGAAGCCTGTGTTGTAGTACTACTTTGGGAGGCCTTGTGCCTCTGAATACCAGTTGCTGGAAACCGCAGGAGGTGAGGATGCTGCTGGGCTCAAGTTCTGTTTGTGGGTTTCCCATTGGGGCATCTGATTGGCCATTGCAAGAACAGGATGCTGGACTAAATGGGCCTTTGGTGTGATCCAACAGGGCACTTCTTATGTTCTCATGCCAGTCTTGTTTCCTGAACTTTTCAGCCTTTGGATTGTTTTTGGAGCCTGTCATCTACTCAAGATTGACCCTATCGTTGGACAGTGATGTAGGAGCCTTAGACAGCAGGATATTCTCTCCATAGTTTATGTTTAAAATTTGCATCTCTTTCCCATCTCTCTTAGTTGGTGCACCCCTAAGCTGATCCTGAGCTGGGTAGGCGTCAGTTGAAATCATTCCTTGGCTGTTGTATTAAAACTTCAGAAGCTGCTTCGTGGGCACCTTCAGAGAACAGGAAACAAATAAATTTGGGGGCTGCCTCTCTCCATTCCCTCTCTGTGAGTTGTGATGTGGGGAGGGGCAAAACGGATTTGTAATTCCTAAAACTTCCAATTTTTCTCCCCAGAGGACAATTTCACTTGATGCAGGGCGGGGGAGCAGCCAGTGTCCGTCTGGTCCAGACACTCTCGGACTCGGACGACGACAATGACAGTGCCTGGGAAGGGCGACTTGGAAATCACTATAAACCTCCAGGTACTGGCC